ACGAGGAATATTGAGAATACTAGCAATCTGACGATTGCTTTTACCATTTATGTAAAATACAATAACTTGATAACGTTTACTAAAATTTCTCGGTGCCATACTTCAATAATATGTTACTATGGTAAACAATTTTTTAGAAGATTAGAACAACATTAAAAAAAATTTTTTTTCACTAATCATTAGTTATGTCAGTTTTGGTAGATTAGATTAATTTTTCTACTTAGATTTTTCGTTGATCGAGATTTGCATACAATTAAAATTTGTCTACAATTAATAGAATAGCTTCGAGTATAAATGATCTGTTTTATTATTCCAAAGTGAAATATTGAAAAAATTAGACTAGATATTACGACTGAAAAAAAATGTTTTCATATGATTATGAAATTTCGTTCACGTATTCTACTTACAAAATAGAACATTTTCTTCCAAGAAAATTTTTTTCTACAACTCGAATTTTCCGAGATACAGAGCAATGAAAATAGATGCTGTTTTTGAATGAAATGCTCATATAATCGGTGAATTTAGACGAAAATTATTTTTGAACGAGTGTTTTGGATAGTGCAGAAAAAGAGCTAAAAAATGCTATGTTTAGAATTTTTCTACGATTTTTTTTCTCGAAATGGCAAGCGGTTAAAGAAAAAGTAAAAATTTCGTAATTTTTGTTTTGATATTCGCCGCCCTATCTGCAAGGGAAATATCTAAGCATGATTTTAACATACATCATTGAAAAGTGCTCGAAAAACCCTTTCAAATGAGCCCCCGTAGAGCTCTGTAGGTGTATTTTCAGCCGAGATATGGAGTTTCAAAGTTATAGTCGTTTTGTTCTTAGGTGGGCAGAGATTATTGGGCGGGAGTGTAAGTGTGGATGTAGTTGTTTTGTTTTTATTTGGATTATAATCGTAGTACCTCCGTGTGCTACGTGTTCAACAGATGATTGGTTTTTGTACAGTGTAGTTTGGTATATTAAGGTAGTGTTTACTTGTAAAGTGTGCTTCTGATATCAACATGATGTCTATATTCTCATAGATTAAAAATGCTTTAAATTCAACATGTCTCTGCATAAGACCGTTTGCGTTCCAGATAGTGAGTTTTCGACTGCTCATTATGCCTTTTTGTTTACCAGTACAGTTAAAAGATTTAACATAATATCTATTCTTTGCGTCAGCAGTTTCATCATACGTTCGAGTTCATTATTTGTGTTTACTTCGTTAATATGTTTACTTAGCTTTGCTTAAACAATTGTTTATTATAATATTTCTATCTTACTCTGATCGTTTTGTTTTGATATTATCTGTGCATATGTTATATTTCGTATATTTCTATTGACGTTAGCATTTAAATTTGAATTTGAATTTGGATGAACTCGAATACTGTTTCGATTTAACGTTTTTTCTCTTAGTGTAGGAAATAGTTTTTGCTGTAATTGCTTACGAACTGGGCATCCTTTATAGTTTGCGATGGGATTTCCTTTACAGCTTTCACATGTCACTTCTTTAATTTTTTGTTTAATTGGACATTTTTTAGTTTGGTGTTGGTCAACACATTTCACATACACAACATTTTTATATCAATAGTTTTTTGTATTGCCGTATTCTTGGCAGTTTTTACATTGAGGAATTTCTCTTTCAACGTTCGGTTGCTCGAATTTGATTACCGTGTTTAGTAGTCAGTTTACTTTATAAATTTCCTGGCTTTTATAATCATATTCAATTTCAACTGTGAATAGCGACAATGATAATTTTGTGATGTGATGCCTTATATTATGAATACTTAATACTTTATATCCATGTTCTTCTATGGCTGTTTTTAATTCGTCTATATCTACTGTCGGGTGAATATTTCTTAATATAACTTTAAAACCTTTTTCTTCTTTGCACTGGTAAGTGTAAAATTGCATCTTTCTTGCTTTCAATGCAGTAATAATTGGCAAATATTTTCCAGAAGTTGTTGGCTGAATTTTAATTTCGTTCAGTCTTATCACTTTTAAGGTATAATTTTCTTTAGCTATTTAGTTCAGTAGATTTCCCAATGGTTTGATATTCTCAACATTGCTAACGAAGATCTAAGGGGATTTACTTTTCAACTTATTTGCTTTGTTGTTTTCTTCTTCAATATAATTTTCTTTATTTTCTATATTTCGTACCTGTATTATGCCTTAGTATTTCGTACCTGTTTCTTGTGTTACTTAGTCAGTACTCCAATAATTGAGCTTGCCGTTTTTTGTTTTGGGTTCGGTTTTCTGGGCTGTTTCTTTGTTTTCTGCCACTTAAGGTTTTCTAATTTTCGTTGTTTTTATTAGGAGTGGTGTTGTTCTCTCCTTACTGAGTGGCCATTTTGACCGTTGTTTTCTTTTTCTGGAAGAGGAATTACTGACACTTTACTCGATCGAGATGTGCTTATAATAATTTAATTAGATTGAAATCTAGTAACTGACCTTTAAATTTTTATTTTGTAAACTTCAAAATTTTCTTGATTTCCAAATTTTAAATATCAATTTTATGTTTAATTCTCTTTTTCTATTTCATCAACTAATTCATTTTCTAATTGTTCTTTACTTAACTCTTTACTTGAACAATGAACTCGCGAGCTTCCTCACTGAGTGTTCCATATAACAGCTTTGTGATTAGCGCTAAATTTAAGTGGTATATCTAACAAATATCTTGTTTAGAAACTTAACTGAGGTTCCAGCATTTCATTTTATTATGAATTAATTTATATGACAAAAATTATCACAAACAATACATACTACAAAACCAACTTTATTATTTCGGTGATACCGTAATATTTATTCAAAGAAATATTGGGTAATTCCTTAGTTTTCGACGTTATGATGAAGACTAAAGTATTGCTTAACCTTAAAGATAGATTTAGTTTATTTAATTACGATACTTACAAATATTGAAATGTGTGAATATACTTTTCCCTATAGGAATTAATATAGTAAGGTATCACGAAGTTCAGTGAATTGTTTAATAATAAAAGCATACAGAATTTGCACAGAATGTACTATTAGATACTGTATGGAAGTTATGGTAAGTACATAATGTAAATTAGGAAATAATCTCAATATAAAACTTTCAGATAAAAAATACAATAAAAATGAAAGAAACAATAAACTATACGTATTGAAAAGGTCATATAATAATTACGTTGTAGAAACCATTTAAAAATCTACGAAAATTGTATGAGTATATTTTATGAAACATTTGTTGAAGTGTTTGACAATAAATAATGACTATAAACGTTATTTTCACGCATTTACTTTTACGTGACTTTTTATACACTATATTTCTATTTTTGATTTGTATTGCGATTTAAATAAGTAGACAAATAAAACATGACATGAAAATTAATGAAATTGAAGATATGTTTTGTTCAATAAAAATTCATGGAAAATGATGTAAAAAACTTGATAATTGAAAAATTGTATTTTAGCTGTCTTATATCCGAACTCAAAATATTTAATCATACAATACAACAATAACAACAAAATTATCTCAAATTGTAATTCAAGATAGACCTCTTCTACTCTCTCGTAAACCTTCACACAATAAAAATATGAAAATTGTAAAATATTTTTAAAGAAAATGAATATTCTTAGGTTCAATAATTATATATGTAACAGGCTGCCGTATAGCCGCTTATCCCTAGTAAATATATTTATCACGACGACCAAACGGTGCTCTGCTAGCTGTATGCTTCTAGCACACTTACTCACCTCGCTCCGGCGTACGCATGCGCCGTGTCCACTCAGCGATCCAACTTGGGTGCACGATCTCTCCGCAAAGTGGCGCTGGTGCGCTAGCTTACTAGCGCTCCATCGGACACCGCAAACACCTCGGTTAACGAACAGCTCCTACTATGCTCGTGCGATCCGTGCTGAATTACCGGCGCGTTCGAATCGAATGTAAACAATAACACCGACGCCGGACAAAGGGAAGACGAAATAATAAGATCGTCTCTTATTGGTATCTGACTACTTTATTAGACGAAACTAATTCTGTACAAGGAGGGATTTGCCGAGAGTCTTATCGCACGCTGTATCGATATAATAATTCGAATGGAGAGAGAGAGTATATTTCGCGGACGTCGCAGACTAGTCGCACGCACGCTACCCAAAACCCGCCGCGCACGCTGCGCGGGATAGCACGCAAACGATTGACAAAGTGCGGCGCACTTATCGTTAATTAGAGGAGGATACGGTGGCCAATCGTATCCACTTACGCGGATCACGAGCTGCCTCTGCGACGCCTTCTGCGGCTGTTGCTACGCCGTGCGGTGAATGCTGCTCGAGTTGTCTTTGCCGGTGCCGGTGTCACACACGTTGTGCAGTGTGTGCACCCGTCCCACCATTCACTAACTATCTGTTCTAACTCCCGGTATGTCACTCGGATGGGAAACCACGTTGTTGCTTCCAATGCAAAAAAGCTGCGAGGTCGCCTGACTGAAGGACACAGTCATACTGGCTCGCTAGCTCTCCCCTCTCGGTCATTGCCCCTAACGCGCCCTCTCTCTCTCTCTCTCTAACCCAAACCGATCACGGCTATTACGCTTAGCCACGCTTAGCAGTTCACGCGAGTCCTAACGATTTTCGGCAATCGTTGCAAATAATAATAAACATCGTATGCAATAGTGAACTTTAAATTCAGAATATATTACTCCAAATTTATCATTGACACTATTATTTCAAAAAAAATTTTATTATGCGTGTAATTCAATATTTTAAAAATATAAAATTCTCTGCGTATTGACTATATGAATAAAAAATTGAATAATATTATAAAATTACACAAAGATATACCACAAAATTATACCAAGTTGGAATTGTTTACAAAATTAATTGCAATAACTTTTTTACAGTCTACGTTGGAAAGACGAAAATAAATTGAAGTAAAAGATAGGAAGTCCATTAAAAGTAAGTTGAGTAAGTGTGCTATTTAAGGAAAATATTTTATTTATTCCAAAACGGTAATCCTTCATAATGTAGAAAATTATCTTACCTTCTGTGACAATATGATAGTCCACGTAAAAGTTGAAAAAGAAATAATTTAACATTATGTGGATCAAGGCCACCTCCACCGCCATATCTTTCCATGTATTGTGAGAGATCTGTATGAACGTATTCAAAGACAAACGTTAAGGTTTCACGTGTGTGGATTATATCATGAAGTGTTACAATATTATTGTGTTTCAACTCTTTTAGTAAACTTGCTTCTCGAATGGCAGTAAATGGTGCCCCTTCTTCTTCTTGTAATCTTATTTCTTTCAGAGCGACAACCTGATTTGTTAAATGACTGAAACCTTTAAAAACTGTAGCATATGAACCTTCTCCCAATTGTTCAAGTTTCATGTAAGCTTCTGATTTTCCGAATGGCGAGTCACCCTGGAAACATTATGCAAATATAAGGCCAATTTAATGCTATTTTTTGGAAAATATAGAGTTTGGAATTCTCATGAGCACCTCCAATATAATAAAACTTATATATATAGACATCATTTTCTTAATTTATCTTAAGAGACTTGATACGCATATCAATGTTTAAATGTGTATATTTGAAAAAATGGTAAGAAAATAAAATTGATATAATGTTGTTCATTGAAATTTTGTAACTTTTTAGCTCAACTATTTGCTTAAAGTGAATAACAAATTAACATCAGCAAATAGGAGTATTAGAAATATAAATTTTATAAATATTCATTTGAAAACATAATTGTCGCACTACTCTCTTTTTGAACTACGTATTAAACTCTGTTCACAGTATACTAATATATCAAATATTTAAATAATTTTTACACTAATTTAATGATAATATTAATTCATATTTATTATTAAAGTAAAGCATATAGAACACGCAAAAAGTATATTATGATGATAAATACAAATAGATAGAAAGTTGTGGGCCCATATATATTTATACTAAATTGAATGACATATGACACTAAAAAGTTTGTTTATAAACAAATAAGGTGAATCCGCTTACATATTCATGGACTTCATTCAGTTACTTACAATATATCTTTATTTATTATTATAATATACTTTTGGCATGCATCGTGAATGTCTTTTCTAATAATTTATACTTTTATTATTGTTGCTATTATTATTGTGACTTCAAGAACAACGTCCATGTATAACACTGCAGAGGTACAGTAGGTACCTGTTCGCATTAGTCTTGGTCTCCTATACTCATCAGTATGTAGATTCAACTTTCCCACCATTTCGGAAATGGTGTATGAGAAAGTTTTACACGCCTCATGATTAAACCTACAGTTTACGGTAAGGTCTAAACTACCGAAATTACGATAACAAACATAAGCAAATTTTATTTCTGAAAGTTTTCACATGCTCGTAGCTTGAACCACCTCTTGCACGGAAGCCTGAGCTCTTACTGCGCCACCGTGATTCCGTAATTGATTGATAGTTCTTCAATTTAAACTTTTTTCATACGTTGTACGTACAACATATAATAATAAAATGGTTCATGACGTTAGTATTTTTTTATTGGACAAATTTTAAACAGTTATTTATTAAATTTAAAAAATAGAGATGTCACAATTTTCTTTCAAATGAAAAAACTGATTTTTTTTTTAAATTTTGACTCTTTATATTTTTATATCTTTATATTTTTCGGTTACAAATGTAACTTTTTCTCTTTACCTTTTTTTTCTAAAACCTCTTAGTATTTGAGGTGTATTAATATTTAACGAATACATAACGATTTTCGTAAAAATACTCATAACTTCGGCAAAAAATTTACAAAGGATTCACAATAAGAATTCTCAAAGTGTTATTTAAAAAAAAAGAAATATATGTTTTTGGTTCCCGTTCGAATTTTAAATTGCTCTCAAATTGGCATAAAGTTGAATGGTGATAAAAAATATGAAAATTTTTAAGTTAATTTTTTAGGTACAAAATTGCAATCTTTTATCTATAAACTCGTTATCGAATTGAAATGAAAGCTTCTAATTTTAATTTCAAATCGTGAATAGATGTTTTTGTATTCGATCATTTTTGGTAATAATATAACATTTTAAAGTAGAGCTCATTTTGTCCTAGGTAAGTACAAAATGATTGATAGGTAGTATACATTTGTTTAGTATGTACATATATAATAAACATTAGGAGGTAGTATATATTACTCATTTCAAGATGAATGACGAAAATAATCCAAAAGATTAATTAAATTTATAATTGATAAAATGCATTAACTTATTATACTACTATACGATTCTGAACATTACATACTCAATATATCAATAGCCCCATTCTTTTATTAATGAGTAATGCATTTAATATCGTGTGTTTCTTTGATGCTTCGTTGAAAAAAATCTACGAAAATTTTTTAAATCTAACCGGTTCTATATTCTGATAAACAGTTTCCAATGTCCGCTTACCACTAAATTTGCAATGTATAAGAGTTAAAATATTTATTTATTTATTTATTTATTATTTATGTCCAGAGTAAATATACATTAATAATAATTAATAATATACAAATACATTACATTACATGTAATCCAGCAGAGGAATTTCTTCCTGTACGCTGGTCTGGCATGTTTAATAAATTAATACTAATACTTAAAACTAATTAATAATTTGTATAAAGATATTCTTGATTTGTTGTTCTAATCCCATGTTCTATTTAGCATCTGTCTGGCTGTAGTGAAATACCCTGTTGTTGCATTCTTGGTTCTTCTGTAGATGACACGTTCTATGCTTGTTAATCTTGCTGGACATGTTAGTCCTATTGCGCAAGTTTCTCTATAGTGTGGAAAAATTTCTTTGTGTTGTCTGCTCGAGACACATTTGCAATTTGAGGTGAACACTATGTCATCGACAACTACAATGTCTCGGTGTTGTGGTTGATATTCTAGAGGTGATGCTGAGTTCCTGAAAATTTGTGTTCCTTGAATACCTCTGTCAAAGTTTAACACGGCTTTATTGTTGCCTAGATAGTTTATGTCTCCATAGGTCATTCTGATACAATTTGGTTGTTCTATCAGTTTTCCAGGGGCTGGCATCGGTTTTCTTGACAGTGCTCTATAGTTATTTTCATTTGCCATCTCATCAATGGCATCGAAAACTGTCTCTATGGACATTTTATTATTACTGTTTATGTTATGTTCTTCGAGTGTGGACTTGGTAAATTTTATTCTGTTAATTTGAGTAGCTGTCGTTGTTTTCATATTATTCAAGAGGCTGTTAGCTAGCTTTGTGAGCCTGTTGATGTCTTGTGTTGATCCTTTCAGCATTTTTTCATAGTTATACTGAGTGATTCTTTTGTGTGATCTTTTATGAGATAAATTGCAATTGTTATTTGCACAAATAAATGTTCTAATATCTAGTATTAATTTGTTGTAGTCTACTGCATCCTCATGGACTTCCGATGTCGGATACAGAGTACCATAGAGATCAATTAATTGTTTTATATTTTTGCAGTTTAATCTATTTACCATATTGGGTTTCCTTTAATCCATTTTTTGAGTTTGTTTTTCCTAGTTGTCGTGTTGCTAATTGTTTTCAAGTCATTAGGTAGTTTATTGTATAACATAATTGCTCTTACATAACTGTTTTTTATGCTGATAGTTAGTGTTCTTTTTGGGTGTTGGATTGAGGCGAATCTTGTTTTTCTTTCTTTTCCAATATATTTGTCCTTAAAAGTATCGTAGTGGAATAGTAGAGATTCCAATGAAAAGCATTGATCTAAGTTAACTGGGTATTCATGTGTCACAAATTGTTTTTTATAGATTATTTTTAGTAGTTTGTTTTGTAAGTTTTGTATTACTTTAATTCGACCTGTGTACGCTCCTCCCCATGCTATAATTCCATAGGTCATTATGCTGTGAAAGAGTGCGTAGTAGATCATTTTTAATGTACTAGTATTCATTATTTTTGATAGCTTATATAGGACAAATGTTAGATATTTTGTTTTTTGGTATAGAATTTGTAGATGTAAATCCCATTTCATATTACTGTCAAAAGTAACTCCAAGATATTTTGTGTTTTCAACTCGGTGTATTGGATGTCCTAAGATTTCAATTTTCAGGTTTTTTGGCGTACTGTCATGATAATTTCCAAATTTCATGTACGTTGTCTTGTCTATATTCAAAGATAGTTTATTAAGAGCAAGCCAAATTCCCACTATTTTTAGATAACTGTTCATATTAGTTTCAGCTTCTTTCCAATTCTTACATTTTGCTATGATTGCTGTATCGTCTGCAAAAGATAGTATGCATTTTTCTGGTAGAATCGTTAGTAGATCATTTATGTATAGTAGGAAAAGTAGCGGATCCAGTATAGTTCCTTGAGGAACACCCATTTTTACTATTTGTTTATCGCTACTTGCATTATTTACCTTCACACATTGTTTTCTATTTGTTAGGTAGCTTTTGATAAGGTTATAGCCACTACCCCTAATACCATAGTTGTATAATTTTTGTAACAGTATCTTGTGGTCAACTGTGTCGAAGGCTTTGGCAAGATCCAGAAAAGTTATTGTTATAGGTTTACTTGCATCTAATTGTTCATAAATGTTGTTTAAAATATAATTTAGTGCATGTTTTGTGCTTCTGTTTTTTCGAAAGCCAAATTGATTTGTGGAAAGCAAATTACAGTTGTCAATGAAAGATTGAATTCTTCTATGTATTATTTTTTCAAAGATTTTAGCTATGTTGGAGATTAGAGAAATAGGTCTGTAGTTATTTGCTAAATGTTTTTCTTTTGATTTGTGGATTGGTATAATATCCGCTTCTTTTAAAGCATCAGGCCAAGTTTCATTAATAATGCACTTATTTATAGCAAGTGCAAGTGGTTCAGATACGTAGTGGATTAATGATTTTAATAATAATGAATTAATTCCATCAACTCCTCCTTTTTTGTTTTTTAGTCTGCCAATTATTTTTTTTACTTCTTGTTCATTTGTAAAATTTGAAAATATTGTTTTCGGGTTTATTTTTGGGAGGTTAAGTGTTGCATTTTGCGGTTGTATTATATTATTGCTAAGTTCCGTTCCAATTTCACAAAAAAATGTGTTCATTTTGTTTGCAATTTCTTCTGGATTGCTGATTCTATTATTTTTGTCCGTGATGTAATCAATAGTTTTGTTATTCTGAGTATTTCTCCCTAGTTTGTTGTTGACAACTGACCATAATTTCTTAGGATCATGTTGCACCATTTCTATGATTTTTTTATCGTAATTTTCTTTTGCTATTGTAATTATCTTATCTAAAATTTTGATAAAATATTTATAGTTTTTTTTTTTTTGTTGTATCGTGAGGATTATATTTCCATTCAAGATATAGGTTTTCTTTAGTTTTACATGAGTTTATTATGCCTTTGGTGATCCATTTTTTACTTGGCTTCAAGCTATTAATAGTTTTGTT